CTGGCCCCTCTGGCTCTGGTTGCTGCAGCTCTGCTCCCAGGGCAAGTCTGCTCTCTCTGGGCTGTGCCTCTGGCTTTGGCGCTGCAGCTCTGCTCCCAGGACAGGGTCTGCTCTCTCTGGGCTGCTTTTCTGGTCCCTCTGGATCTGGCACAGCTCTGCTCCCCAGCTTAGCTTGGACCCCTGCTTTCTCCTTAGCTCAGCCCCACTCTGTCTGACCCAGGCAAATCCAGTTCACATGGAGGATGGGACCTCCCTGGCCTCCTGACTCCCTGATTAGGCTGCTCGCCCTGTCATTCAGGCTGACCTGGAGCATTGGCCATTGTTCCTGAGACTATCGGTCTCAGGGTCCTTGTTTCCCATAGACCCTTCCCCTTTTAGTACTGAGCGCTAGCCAACCAAAACACCCCCACTGAATGTTAGTAAGGGGGCAACAGTCCCCTTACACGTGGTAACAATTCCCTAACAGCATGTAGGAGTTCACCCATCCAACATGTGCCTCTTGAGAAGTTAAAAGAACAGGGAGTAATTGTGGCACTTTAGAGATTACAAATTTATTTGTTAATCTCTCTAAGGTGCCACAAGTACTCCTTTTCTTTTTGCGAATACAGACTAACAAGGCTGCTACTCTGAAATTTATTACAGCCTAAGCTTTAGTTGGCTACAGCTCACTTCGGCATACAACAGCTCAACATTTGCGCAGCAATGTTGGGGTCGGGGCTAACCAGCTGTACCCCGACCTCTCCCAAATTCTGCGGGTTGAGGGTTCCCCGTGGGGTCAGGGGGTGTTTGCTAGTAAGTGGAAGAATGGGGGGAGTGGGGGGGGGGGGTTCTGCTATAGTAATTTTCCAGGCATGACACCTGCAATCTCTTGCTTAACCTTTCAGCTTCGGACAGCTTCGGGGCGGGGGATTAACCAGCTGCCTGACGAGTCCAGTCGCTGTGCTGACTTCCCTCCGGACGCACATGGGCCGGGAAGCTCGGAACGCCTCTTGCGGGCGGGTCGGGGCTGGGGGCTGCGAGTTGCCGGGCGCTGCCCCGCGCGAGGCGGCTCCCAGGGCCGGCGGGACCCCACTTCGGCCGCGCCCATTGACTCCTCGCTACCCCCGGCGGCGGCGGGTCTGCAATGGGCGCGGGGGGGCCTGGCTCGGCGCGGTCAGTCCCAGACTTTGCGCCACCTGCTGCTGGGAGTCCCCGCCCCTGGAGCTGGGGTGGGGGGAGGAGCCCGGATCCAGGCCCGCTCGTCCAGCGCCGCTGTGGGGCTGCAGCCTGGCTCCCAGGAGAGCCTCTGCCAAGGGCCTCGCCGGGTGTTTGGCCACGAGCCGGATTGCGGCTTGTTCGCCCCGGGCCGGGCGGCCCAGCACCCCGGGGGAGGGCAGGGGAGACTTAATGGGGCTACTTCTGCTGCCCTGGGTGCGGTTACCCCCCTTTTGGGGAGCAGGGAGTGTACTGCGCTCCGCTCCCGCGCGGGGAGGCAAGCCAGGCTGCCTTGCGACGTACTGGAGCCATAGGCGCTGAGTTGCCCTCCCCCTTCCCTAAAGTCCCGGCCCCACCTCCCTTTCCCCATCCTAGCCCCGCCCCATTCCCCCAAGTAACCACCCCTGCCCTGCCTCTTTTCCTCCTCCCCCTCCCCCCGAAAGTCTTAAACCTGCCAGACAGCTGTTAGGCAGCAGGGGGCAAGAAGCGCTGGGAGGGAGGGGGGAGAAGGCGAGGAGGGAGAACTTGGCTGCTGGTGGGTACAGAGCACCTGCTAATTTTTCCCTGTGGGTGGTCCAGCCCTGGAGCACCCATGGAGTTGGCGCCTATGACTTGAGCTGCCCTTGATAAGTACAGCCCTAGAGGGGTTCGCCCTGCAAAGCTATAGCAGGAAAGAGAGCCCTAGGCATCTCCCCCAGCTAGATGGGGTCTGATCTTCTCAACCATCACTGCCTGTTACAACCCTGCTCATTGTTGTTCTTGGCTAAGACCCTTTACAGGGTTCAAAATAGTGAGAGGGGGCAGGCAGCTCATCTAAAAATAGGCACACAGGTGAAGTTACATCTATTCTAGCAGCTGAAAAGTACAAATAAGAAGGATTGTTTTTACTGGGCACAAGGTGATAGTTTATTAAAGGCAGCATTCAAACCTGGAAAGAAATGTGAAAAAAAAAGAGAGAGAGAGAGAGAGAGGCAGGATTTAGCATAGGCATAGTTTGAGTTCTATATTTTTTGGAGGGTGGCTCCAGTCAGGCCAAGGGGACTGTTTGTGAAGGGTGTGTGTGTACCACAGGGGCACCATGATAGATGGGGGGACAATTTTAACTGGGATTCTAGGGCTACTTAGGCAACTGAAAACTCTAGGTTTTTTTCAGATGATAATTTCTAAGTTATCTGACAGGAGCACTGTATCTAGTTTCTATATAAAGAAAGAAACGTAAATAGATACTAGACTCACTCAGCTCTAATACTAACAACTTCTGACATCTTGTGGCAAGTCACTTAACACAGTGGTTCTCGAAGCTGGTCCGCTGCTTATTCAGGGAAAGCCCCTGGTGGGCCGGACCAGTTTGTTTACCTGCCACGTCCACAGGTTTGGCCAATCGTGGCTCCCACTGACTGCGGTTTGCCGCTCCAGGCCAATGGGGACTGCGGGAAGGGTGGCCAGCACGTCCGTTGGCCCACGCCACTTCCCGCAGCCCCCATTGTCCTGGGGCGGCGAACCGTGGCCAGTGGGAGCTGTGATCGGCCAAACCTGCGGACACGGCAGGTAAACAAACTGGTCCGGCTCGCCAGGGGCTTTCCCTGAACCAGCGGCAGACCGGCTTTGAGAACCACGGACTTAATGGACACAGGTTAGGTTTAAAATTGTAATGTATATTCCTCCTCAGATACTCTTACTAAAGTCAGAAGGGACCATCGTGATCATCTAGTCTGACCGCCTGCTCATTGCAGGCCACAGAACCTCACCCATCCACTACGGCAATAGACCCCAACCTCTGGCTGAGTTACTGACATCCTCAAATCATGGTTTAAAGACTTCAAGTTAGGGAATTCACCGTTTACACTAGTTTAAATCGGCAAATGACCCATGCCCCAGGCTGGAGAGGAAGGCAAAAAAACCCAAACCAGGGACTCTGCCGATCTGACCCAGGGGAAAATTCCTTCCCAACCCCAAATATGGCGATCAGTTAGACCCTGAGCATCTGGGCAAGGCCCACCAGGCAGATACCTGGGAAAGAATTCTCTGTAGAGAACTCAGAGCCCACCCCATCTAGTGTCCATCACTGGCTGTTGGGGATTTTTGCTACAGGAAGTCACTGATTGGCCACACACCATTGTAGGCAGTCTAGTCCTACCATTCCCTCCATAAATTTATCAAGCTCAGTCTTGAAGCCAGTTAAGTTTTTTGCCCCCACTGCATCCTCTTCACTCCTCTGATGGTCAGAAACCTTCATCTAAGTTCAAGCCTAAACTTGTTGATGGCCAGTTTATATCCATTTGTTCTGGGGTCTATATTGGTACTTACATTAAATAACTTCTCTCCCTCCCTCGAGTTTATTCCTCTGATGTATTTACAGAGAGCAATCATATCTCCCCTCAGCCTTTGCTTGGCTAGGCTAAACCAGCTAGGAAATCAGCTGTTTCCACCAGCTAATTAAAGAACATGCACAAACCTCTTAAGACACAAAAATCCAATCCTGTTCTTTAAAAAGGTAAATATTATTAATAAAAAAAGAAGAAAATACATCTGGGAATTTGGGCTTTTGCTAGATTAAAAAAAAACACTACAAGGATTAAGCATCAAGAATAGCTCTCTTGAAGTCCAGTTTAAAGGTTACAACCAAAACAAAAGCACCTGGGGTTAGCACAGAGGAATCCACAAGCCATAAAGAAATAAAAGGGATAAACTTAATCACGTCTTTCTCGACATTTCCTGATCTATTTATATATCTGGGGTTTTAGATGAGTAGTTTCTAGGAAAGATACCAATGATTTTTCATACCTGGCCCAAGCTTCTCACAGTATAACTGCTCCCTGTCTCCCTCCCCCCAAGAACAACAACAGACAGACAAAAGGGAAGTCTTGTTTCAATTTTAAAAAGTTCTAGCCTTCCCATTGGCTCTTTTGGCCAGGTGCCCACTCACTTCCTTTTACCTATGCATAGCAGTGAGACTTTTTAACCCTTTACAGATAGAGCAATTAGAGAACAGCTACTAAGAGGGATTTTGTAGCTACTGGCTGGCTGAGTGTCCATAAAAGGGAGCTACCCCAACCACCTTCATTTATCACAGCCTTTTAGAATTCCAACTTCCCTGTCTCTACTGGAAATACCTCACCTGATACATCCTAAGACTCCATTAGCCCTTTTCACAGCTGCATCACATTGACAGCTCATAGTTATCCTGTGATCAGCCAATACACCCAGGTCTTTCTCCTCTGTCCCCAGTTTATAGCAAACATTCTTGTTGTTAGTCCCTAAATGCATGACCTTGCACTATTAAATATCATCCCATTTCTATTATTCCACATTACAAGGTCATCTAGATCTTCTTGTATGATATTCTGGTCCTCCTCCGTAATGGCAACACTTCCCAGCTTGGTGTCATCTGCAAATTTTATTAGCACACTCCCACTTTTTATGCCATCTTCAGTAATGAAAATGTTAAAAAAGGTTGGTCCCAAGACTGATCCCCGAGGAACTCCACTAGTAACCTCCCTCTAGCCTAACAGTTCACCTTTCAGTATGACCTGTTGTAGTCTCCCCTTTAACCAATTTCTTATCCACCTTTCAATTCTCAGATTAATCCCCATCTTCTCCAATTTAACTAATAATTCCCCATGTGGAACTGTATCAAATGCCTTACTGACATCCAGGTAGATTAGATCTACTGCTTTCCTTTGTCTAAAAAATCAGTTATCTTCTCAAAGAAAGATATTAGTAACTCTGTTACTACCTCTCAAATACAACCATTGAAACAATTGTAGAAAAATCTACGATTACTTTCTATCATTTAGGCTACTTACTTTTTGCAGTTCACCAAGCTTGGAACAGGTCATTTAACTTTAGGAAACATCCTAACAGCCCTTTCTTATCTTCATCATCATCATCATGTTCCTATTACGCCTCTGGCATTTAGGGCAGCGACGAGGCTCCTCCACTCCTGCCTGTTTCTGGAAAGTCTTTCAGTGTTTCCCCAGCTGTGCCCCAGTGTGGCAGTTCAATGATGAGACAGAACACAGCTTTATGCAAGAAAGCAGGCTGGTCAGCTGAGATGGGCGTTCTGCCCCCCGCCTTCCACCTTCTCCTTTTATTATATTTCTCCCCCCTAAGCATTACACACTGCTACAGCAAAAAGATACACAAAAGAATGTATGACGTTGATTAATATACTTAGTTGCATCTTTTAGCTACTACAATCCTGGTTCTCAGGCCTTGAGCCCAGGCTAAGAAAGCCTCCCGCAGTTACTGTCCCAACAATCAAGTTTTCATGGTTCATATCTAGCCCTTGTCCTTGGATAGAGCAATGTGTGCATTGCTTCTACAAAACAGTCAAGGTGTGCCCTGCCTGCTTCCAGGTGGAATAGCTAAACATGAACCCTTCATCCCCCCGTTTTTTATTTAATGATAATTGGCCATCTCATTGTAGCCGTCAATTTGTTTTGTCATGCTATTTAACTCCCAGACAGACAAGGACATAACTTGGGGAGCCTTCCAGGGCAAAATTTCACAAAATCTTAACAAGGAAGGAATACATTGTACACAGCAGCAGCAAAAAATAAGCCCAATGATTACAAACACAAAATAACCAAAAAGCTGTCGCAGCCAGTCTAGAGAGGGCAGCCAACCTGTAAGCCAATTCCAAAAGCCCTCAAACCCCAGATCTTGGCGTATGTGTGTTGTAAGATTGGCCAATTCAGCCAGTCTAGTTTCTATGGAGCGACTATTATCAGTTAAATTAAAGCAACACATGTGCTGAAATGTGGAGCAGCCTAGATGGTGTTTTAGGAGCAGAAAATCAATGGCTGCTCTGTTATCCAAAATTGCATCTCTTAATTCGTGTTGTTCTGTGTTAAGTAAGGCAATAGCCTGGGATGTTGTATTAATTGCCTTTGCTGCAAAGCATGCCAGGTTATTTAAAGTTCTGGCTGAATATGTAGCAAGCGCGGGGACCCCAACAATAGAGGCCGCTAAAGCAGTATACTCAGCACGACTAAAAAGCTCAACATCTGCAATACAATCATTTGAAAGGGGTACACTTCTTTTACTACGATTTTGTCCAGCAAAAGGCAATATAAGGGTCATTCTACTAAGACAGCAAAGGGTGCCATCACTTAAATTTGCAGGAATATAATTAAAGGTACGTGAGCCGCAAGTAAAAAACCATCCTGATGGTAGGATGATATGGCCATAATTATAGGAAACATTAACAGCATGGGAACAATTTAAAAGGGGTTGAGAAATTTTTCGACAGCCCAAGGGCACCTTTGTACCAGTGCAGTTAACTATACGCGCACAAGTAACATTGTGAGCCCCGGCCGGGTATGGTGTGTGGAGGGATATAGCCGTCCGAGGCAGAGTATAGTTGGCTGGGCCCCAATTAGCCATGCTAGAGTACTGGGAGGAAAGATTCGCATAAGCAGAGAACAGTGTCTTATTCTCCATCTCCTCAGGGTGATGACATACTGGAATAAGGCATGTGCCTAACAAATCTCCGGCTGCTACAGAATTAGATAGACAAAAGTGGGTAACATTTGCTATTGAAGCCAATCTTTCCCATATGTTATATGTCATTCGGGCTCGTAGCGGGGGAAGCGCGTCCGAGCCAACCCCTACAGGAAATAGCAGGCACAAAAGGCACACAATCATCACAGAATTAGCAGTGATTTGGGCAAGAATCGCCACAAACAAAGTCTCAGGAGTCTCTGGCTGTTGATCTGCTGCCAGCCTTCGTTGGGCCGCGGCAACCAATGCTTTTACTGCTCCCCATGTCACGGGCCGGTTTGGGACACTACGCCTCCTCCGTTTCCGTCCCGTCGTTGTCGACTCGGGGGGCAACGCGGTCTCCTCCAAGGTCAGCTGAAACTCTGGTATGGGATTCGACAGTCCCTGGTGCCATGCCATGTTGTTTAAGTGCCGGTCGCACACACCGAGCTGGAACCCACAACGGTCCTGCAGGGAGAGACACAGCAGCATATCCCCGACCCCAAGTGATTAGAGGTACTGGGCCCAGCCACTGTGGATCGGGCAGCTGACGATAAAAGACACGCGGTCTTTCCAGTACCTCAGATTTGTGAAAATGCCGATCCGCAGGGGTCTGCTGATCTGCATTCAATGTTAAATTATTTAAAGTAAACAAGAGGATATGCATTTGTTGTTGAATGTCTCCTAAGGTTCGGAGACGCAGCTCCCCTTGTTTTAATTGTTTGTCCAGCAAGGTTTTGAGTGTGCGATTGGCACGTTCAACAATGGCTTGGCCCGTAGAATTATAAGGGATGCCGTGTTTAAGACGGACGTCCCAGCGGGCACAAAAGGTGGAGAGGGCTGCAGAGCAGTAGGCTGGGGCATTATCTGTTTTAATTTGGCAGGGGCGACCCATAACAGAAAAGCAGGCCAGCAAATGGTGAATAACTTTGTTAGTGGCTTCCCCACGTTGTGGGGTTGCCCAAAGGAAACCCGAATAAGTATCAACGGAAACATGTAAAAACGAATAGGGGCGGAATTGTGGCACATGAGTAACATCCATTTGCCACAGCTGATTTGCTGCGGTACCTCGGGGGTTAACGGCATAAGAAAAGGTAGGAGCAGCAGCAGCACAGTGGGGGCAGGAACGAACAATGGAACGTGCATGATCAGCAGGAATGTGAAACTGCCGGGCCAAAACAGAGGCAGACTGATGAAAAAAGGCATGGCTTTCAATGGGGTCAGAAAAAGGGAATTTACCTGACCACGCAACGCGCGATCGGCGCGTGCATTGCCCTCAGTGAGTGGCCCAGGTAGAGGGGTATGACTGCGAATATGAGCAACAAAGTAAGGGAAATGACGAGTGGCAAGAAGATGCTGCAAAGACAAAAACAGGCGAAGGAGGTCTGCATCCACCTGAGGGGTAATGAGGGCAAGGGGTAAATGATCAAGTACCTGATAAACATAATGGGTATCCACAATTAAATTAAAGGGACAATCAGCAAAAAGTTGAAAGGCCAAAATAACAGCAGCCAATTCTGAACGCTGTGCAGAACGCTGAGGCAGGGTAAAACGAGAATGCCAACGAGGGGGGTCACCCAACTGATAAGTGACTACACCTCGGTGGGGAGAGCCATCAGTAAAAAGAGTGACAGCGGAAACAATGGGTTGAGCGCGGCTAAGACGATGAACAACTAGGGGTACCTTTTGGGTAATGACCAACCGAGGATCTTTTGGAGGATTGTAAGAAATCTCTCCTACATAATCACAAAGAGCAACCTGCCAGGCCAAGGAGGTGTGGCACAAAGAGTCAAATTCAGTACGGGACAAGGGGAGCACAATAGCAACTAAATCAGTGCCAGTGAGTTGCACTGCACGGTGGCGGGCTTTACGAACAAGATCAGATAGGGCATCCAAATACGGATAAATATTTCGAGGAGGGGTGGATGAAAGGTATAGCCATTCTATAATAGAGACGGCTGTGTCTGTACGAGGTACAAACAGAGCCGCAGTTGGCGTATGAGGGGTGGCAAGAAGAACCAATCGTAAGGGACGGACCTCTGGGAGTCTGTCCACAAACTGCTGACTCAATGCTGCATTGATTTGTCGAATGCAGGCAGTGTGCTTTTCAGTGATGGCAATAACTGCACCCGGTGCCCGGGCTCCACGGAGGAGCTCAAACAATGGCTGCAGCATTGAAGTGGGGAGACGAAAGTAGGGCCGAATCCAATTTAAATGACCCAAGATTTGTTGCAATTTAACAAGGGTTAGGGGTTGAGGTAGAATTAATTCCGGACGAACCGGAGCAGCATAGGTTTGTAAAACCTTATATCCGAGGTAGTGGTAGGGATAAGAGCGTTGGATTTTTTCTGGTGCCACTAACAGGCCATTTTGGCCGAGAATCTGAGATAAAGATTCAAGCTGTTGTGCCGTGACCCGGGGACCACTTAGCAAAATGTCATCCATGTAATGGTAGACCTTTAGCGAAGGGTACCGGGCACGAAAAGGGGCAAGGGCCCGATCCACAAAAAGCTGACACAAGGTTGGACTATTTTGCATTCCCTGGGGCAAGACCTTCCACTGATATCTTTGAGAGGGTTGCTGATTATTATATTGTGGCACCGTAAATGCAAATTTTTCACGATCTTGAGGGCAAAGGGGGATGGTAAAAAAACAATCTTTTAAATCTAACACACAAAGTTGATCGGTTTGAGGAATTAAATTTGGATTTGGCAAGCCAAATTGCAAGGGGCCCATAGGTTGGATGCGTTTATTTATTTCCCTTAAGTCATGTAACAGCCGCCAAGCACCCGATTTTTTCTTAATAACGAACACCGGGGTGTTCCAGGGACTAGTGGAGCTCTCCAGTCGCTGTGCTTGCAAATGCTGCTGCACAAGCAACTGAAGTGCTTTTAGCTTTTCTAGAGGGAGGGGCCACTGGTCAATCCATACGGGCTCTAAAGATTGCCACACCAAGGGTAATGCGGAGGGCACGGTGGGTGAGGGAGGGTTTTGGGCCATCAGATGTTAATATCGAGGGTGGTGTCCAACTTTGTAAGTAAGTCACGGCCCCAAATATTAAGGTGGACAGGGAGCACAAAAGGGCGGATAGTAGCAAGGGTACGGCCTCCCGGTTTAGAGACCGTGACCCAAGACAAGCTTTGGCGCCCGGGTTTACTACCCCCGATCCCCCACAATTCTTTAGAAGGAACCGTAGGCCAACTAACCGGCCACTCCAGATCACGAATCACCGTAACGTCAGCTCCAGTGTCCACCAGCCCTGTAAAGGGAACATCATTTAAGAGAAGTGTTAACTGAGGTTTCGAGGGGCGGACTGACATTGTCAGAGCAACAAGTGGAGAAGATGCGCTGTGAGACGGCGAGTGAGACAACGTCGATCCAAAGCCGCCTCCGCCCCGAGTTCGATCCTCGGCAGCTGGCACCTGATAGGGGACTAAAATCAATTGTGCAATTGACCGTCCACGCGGGAGCGACTGTGGAAGATGAGTCCACACCTGAACCTTAACAATGCCAGTGTAATCAGCATCAATGACCCCTGGAATGACAAAAAAGCCCTGTTTTCCAGCATGTGAGCGAGGGAGAACAAGACCTACAAAGCCGGCAGGGAGAGGTCCCGTCACCTGTGTAGGTATGGCACAGACCTCCCCTGGCAGCCGAAAGTCAGTGTCCTCCTGCATGATCAAATCAAGCCCTGCACTTCCAGCAGTCGCCGCCCTCATAGAGTCTATGGATTTTAAGGCAGAGGAACGGTTGTCTGAGTGGGAAACACCCCCGTTTGGCCCTGGGTTCGGGGGAACCCGTCGCGCGGTTTCCCCGACCCGCTACGACACTGATTAGCCCAGTGATAACCTTTCCCACACTTGGGGCACTTCTTTGAGGGTCGGGCTGGTGCCTTAGATGAGCGGCACTCCCGCTGAAAATGACCCTCCTTACCACAGCGGTAACAACGCTTCCCCTCCTTCCCAGTTTTTCTGAGGGCGGCAGCCAGAACTCCAGCCTTGTGGGCATGTGTGCCAATGTTCTGGCACGCCCGCAGCATGTCTGAGAGCTCTAAAATACCAGAGGCTTGTGCTGCCTGGAGAGCACGGCGGCAATCCTCGTTTGCATTTTCAACTGCCAATTTTAACAGGAGCTCGTGAGCTGCCTCAGTGTTATCCACCTGCCGGAGGATAGCCTCATGCAATCTGTTAGTAAAATCCAAAAAGGACTCTGAGGCACCCTGACGGATACTGACAAAGCTTTTGGTAGGCTTGCCTGAATCCGGGATCTTCTTGAAAGCATGCTGGGCACAGGTGGAAATAATGGGGAAAATGGCCTGAGGGAGTTGAGACTGCATTTGAATAGTAGCAAACTGGCCCTCCCCTACCAATTGATCATAAATGATAGCCCCTGCGTGTATCTGAGCTTGGCGTTCTGCCATCTGCCGAAACTCACTAAGCCAAATAACATACTGACTAGGTGATAACATCATGCGCAGCAGCGTTTTCCAATCCTCAGGGATTAGGGAGTACCCAGTACCTATCCCTTCAACAAGACCACGCACAAAAGTGCTAGTCAGGCCAAACTCACGAATTGCTTTCCTCACCTCTCTAACCACCGAGTATGACAAAGTGGTCCAGGTGCCCACGGGGTTGCCCTGGTCATCATTCTGCCAGGTCACCGGGCAAACTGAGAGCAGATCAGCCAGCTCCTCCGCTGTAAGATCTGATCGAGCTTTCGCCGCGTGAACCATTTGTTGCACCAGCGAAAGCTTCTGAGCAGATGCAGATGACCCTCCGGGGGGCCCCGGAGCATGGGGCCCCACGGAGGGAGGGTGATCACGCACTGGCTCCGGTGGGGAAGGCAAGGGAGGCGGTGATAATGAAGACACTGGGGGCAAGGCAGGGAGAGGGGGGGCTGTGGGTACGGGAGAGGGTCTTTCCGAAGCGACACGCTGGGTTGTATCAGTAGAAGGGGGAATAGCTGCAACGGGGATGGCTACAGGAGCCGACGGGCGTGGCGAGAGCACCAGCCCCGTGAAAGAGGGCCTATCCGAGGTGACACGCAGTATTGCGTCGCGACAGAGGTGCCAGGCATGTAAAGCCTGCACGGGCGCCCGAGGCTCTTCGTGCAATGTCTGGCCCAATCGCTCCCAGTCCGCTAGCTTAAGGCTTCCGGCTTCAGGATACCACGAGCACTGGGCACGCACCTCCTGTAGCAGGAGAGTAAGTGCTCGAGCCGGGCAGTCATGCTGAGCCTTACGCAGCAAATACTGCAGCTCATTGCGGTGTTGCACTTGCAAAGCAGAGAGGGAGCTTCCCATACTTACCACAATGAAAAATACTCACCGGGATCCACAAAGCGGATGAGTGACGCGTCTGAAACCCTTGCCGGGCGAGGTGAGTGCTGAGGGCCCCACGTTTGGGCGCCAGTTGTGGCAGTTCAATGATGAGACAGAACACAGCTTTATGCAAGAAAGCAGGCTGGTCAGCTGAGATGGGCGTTCTGCCCCCCGCCTTCCACCTTCTCCTTTTATTATATTTCTCCCCCCTAAGCATTACACACTGCTACAGCAAAAAGATACACAAAAGAATGTATGACGTTGATTAATATACTTAGTTGCATCTTTTAGCTACTACAATCCTGGTTCTCAGGCCTTGAGCCCAGGCTAAGAAAGCCTCCCGCAGTTACTGTCCCAACAATCAAGTTTTCATGGTTCATATCTAGCCCTTGTCCTTGGATAGAGCAATGTGTGCATTGCTTCTACAAAACAGTCAAGGTGTGCCCTGCCTGCTTCCAGGTGGAATAGCTAAACATGAACCCTTCACCCCAGGTTGTGCAGGTCGGTTTCCACAGCTCTTCGCCATGTTGTTTTCGGGCAGCCTTATTTTCGTTTGCCTTCAGCTGTCCACCTTATTGCTTCTCTGATGATGGAATCAGTTTCCATCCGAAGCACATGACCGATCCATCTCCTCCTGGCAATGATGGTGCTCAGATCCTCTTGGCTGCACTGTGTCAATAGATTTTGGTTTGAGATTGTTCTGGGCCAAAAGATATGGAGGATTTTTCTGAATCACCTGTTAAATTACTCTGTTTATAACAACAAAATTCTGACTCCCTGCCTCAGGGAGCGCAAGCTGAGAGCAGCCCATCTCCTGTCTCCTCTGCAGAACTCGTTACACTGCACACTCAGGCTGCCTGCCTGAGGCTTGCAGTTTGGGGTGGCAATGCCCGCCCCCTTGACCCCCCCATATCCTCCAAACCCTGCCTATAGGATTTAGGAAGATGAATGAAATAATTGATTTAATTCAACCAGCTTTCACACTGATCTTTCACCTCGTAAATCCATTCAAATTATATATTTATACTCTTCAAACAAATATATACTTTGATGTCTCTAGGTTTGGCTTCTTTCATTTCAGAAATGAATTACAAATAGGCTACAGATAAGAGCATTGTCCATTGCAAATTAAAACAACTGTACAGTAACTAGGTTTTCTTATTTGTTCTCCACCACACACACTGAACAATTATTTACTTTCATTTATGTTTACCTTAAGCAAAGTTCTGAGTACAAATTAAAGCCAATGATATTTCAACTCTTAACAGTTACATACCCAGTGTCTTTCCAAATACATAATTGTGGGCCTGATCCTACAGATTTGTAGCCTCATGTGAGTAAGTCTCGGGCCTAGAAGTGAGGGGGGCTATCATATCGATCATTCTTAGTCCAACTGAAGTCAATGACATGTTTTGACTCCACTAGTGCAGGGTCCAACCCACAGAGTGCCCTTAGTTTTTAAGCGGCTCGCCCAATGGAGTTCAGTTTTGGAGGGTCATGTGTGTCATTCAAAGTCTGACAGCAGCAGCTCTGTCCCTTGCTCCCTAGGTTTCTAGTTCTCATGGATGGTTTGAATTTGCCCTTTATAGCTTGTAACATTGGCTTCACTGAAGATAAAAGAAAACAGAACAGTGTCACTTGGAACCCAAAGCAGCCCTGGTGGCCTTCTAGAGAGGAGACACTGGATGTCCAGTGAACAGGCAGGGTTTTTCTTGTGGCAGGGAGGGTGCTGGGTGCAACCCCTCTCCTCCCCCCTCACACCCAACCTTCCTCCAATAGCCTACCAACCAACCCCACCCCAAAGTAGTCCCCCCTCTGATTTTGGACAGTCACCCTAAAAAAAAAAATACCTTGCTAAATTGCAGGATATTATTGCCCAGACCCAGCCTTTCTTCCGCCACCAACATACACAGCCACAATTGTGCTCCTTTAGCTACCAGTTCAGTCGTACTTGACTTACTCTATAGCCTCAGCATAGTAAAAAAGAGACACTATGAAACTAGAAAGCTCATCCCTAGGGACTGAGAGCGAGTATTTTCATATCCAGTGTGCAGTTTCAGATTTCACTGCCACCACCTGGGGAGGGGGGCAGAGGGTGGGGGGTGCGCAAGAGGGGGAAATCTCAGCCTGATTCTGTTACTCTCACAACTTAAACCCCTTCTGCTTTAGATGCTTGGATAGTTAATAGCCTCCATTCTGCATTGCTATTCTTAGCAGCTTTCTGATCTTGTCCCCCTGCCAGAGGGCAGGGATCCATCCACCTGCAGCGTTCGCCTTTGCTTAGACTCCTTTATACTTTGTTCAGCCTAGTCCTGCAGTGTTAGTCCATCGCCACTCCAGACATCTCAAGCTCAGCATTCAACAGGCTCATCGAACCCCAGCTGAGACTAGAAGTCACTTCCGCAAATTTGGTTCAGATCTCAGCTCCTTTGCCAAATACTTCAGGGACTGTCGGATATTTAAAAGATTTAGTCCGCTCATCTACAAACCTTACTCCTGAGTAGTCATCTCACAGCCATAAGCGTTACTCTCAGAATAGTGTGACATACGCCCTGTTTTAAGCCCTGTCCCAGCCTTCCCGACTTTTTTGGATTAACTGGGTATTTGTCCCATTTGCTCTTGCCAGCTTATAATCACTGGGCAAGAGCAAACTGGACAAATGCAGTTTTGCCAATAAAGTGGAGCGCAACCCCTAGGGAGGCACGAAGGAACATGTGTGTGGTGGCGGAGAGGCAACACCAGCCCTGTGCAGGATGGAGGGTTTGGGAAAGTGGCTGGGTCTGGGCCAGCCCCATGCAGGCAGCTGGCAGAGGGTCTTGGGCCGGCCGCAGGTGGCAGGGGGTCTTGGGGGTCTCGGGCCAGCCCTAGGCAGGTGGGGCTTGGACCTGTCCAATGCATGTGGAGAACAGGCAGGCCCCACAGACTGGGGAGGGGGGGAGACAAGGGGGCCTTGGGCTCACCCCCTGTGGTGTCCTGTTTTCTCTTTGGGAAAACATGGTTACCCTATCACAGAAGCAACCCTTGGGGTTTCCTCACTGAAAGGCTTCCACATATATCCCAGTACAATGCTGCCACCTGGTGGTCATATTAGTTGTCAGGCGTTTGTCAAGGGGGAAAGTAATTCAATGTCTGTCAAAGCTAACAGCACTTTTTTATAAAGACATCAGCACTCACACGTCTTTGAGCCATCAGCTTTTAACTGAGGTGCAGAATTTAAGTGGATCCTTCCCTTCTCTCGGGGGGACACTGTAAAACTTAGCGAGCTCAAGATTTGAAACCCTTTTCTACTCATTAGATGTTTGAAAATCCAATGTAACGATGTTGTTTTCTGAAGGGCCAAAATCCATTTGCTGTGGATGTAAGATCTTAACTGCAGTTTCTAC